GACAAACCCCTCGAAGTCAGATTCCCAGTGAAATGCTCTCCGACAGCAAATGCAATGAGTTTGCTTCCTTCTTTTCTGAGAAGATCAATACTATCAGAAAGGCGATTAGCACGTCCTCAAGTTATGCAGAGGTCAGACAGATTCGACCGTAATTTCAAAAAGAAGTTACCATGTCTGGTTTTGAAGCAATTGATAGCAAAGCTTTGGAAGAAATAGTACAGCACCTTAAATCATCAACCTGCTATCTTGACACACTTCCCACATATTTTTTCAAAAGTGTGCTTAACTGTTTAGAAGCAGATCTCTTAGAAGTGGTGAACGCCTCACTTCTTTCTGGACGTTTCCAAAATCCCTGACTATGCAGATGATACCCAGATTTACCTAGCCTTATCTCCAAATGACTACAGCCCCATTAACTCCCTCTGCCAATGCATAACAGTTGGATGTGCCAGAACTTTCTTCAGTTAAACGAGGAGAAAAATTTTAAATCAATTTCTAAATCATTTTAAAAGTTTTTAAGTTCCCTGTTTTATTGTTGTGATTTTTTATGATTATTTTACTTCCTTTTATGTAAAGCACTTTGAATTACCATTGTTACCATAATTTTTACTTTGAAATGTGCTATATAAATAAATTTGCCTTGCCTTGCCTAAGAAGCATGTGAGGACACCTCACAACCTAGAAGTTACATGAGATAGAGAATAGAGAATTTTAAGGCAGGTTAATAGAGTATATCTTTTAGACATAGCATTTATATTGAAAAATCTCAAATCTGATAAATGCAACTATAAGGCATAAAAGTATAAACTTAAAATATTAGACCTGTCAGTGATCCAAGTCATGTGTGAAATTTGTTTTGACTGGAAATGATATCAGCGATGACAGACAGTGTTAAGAACAGCAATCCGATAACTTTAAATTATTCTGTTTAAGATGTTAAATGTATGGGTGGCATAAAAGGTAAGAGTGTGGCCTTACAATGTAAATATAGCCTACTCTTCCCTAACACTGGAGATTAAATGTAATAACTGCTGTAATTGGTTATACAGAAATGTTTTTAGTGCTGACAAAATTTGTTTTTAATGTCATCTGGTCGATCATTCAGATGTGGTTGTACTATAAACAATAAAAGAGCTAACACGTGTTAAATGTTATTTTTTAACTACAAGGTTTGTTCCGGAAAATTAGCAGATCAGTTCAAACAGAGATCTTGGCAGATCGTATAATCTAGAAGCCTATGTAATTTATAGAATTGCTTGAAAGCAGAAGTCCTAACAAGGTCATGTGAAAGCAACTTTATCGCAATCAGAAACCAACCATATTTACATGCAGGACCAGATTTAAAAACTGGAATCCTTACAGTTTAATTGTCTCAACTCCTATACGAAATGATTTGTATGTGCCTTTAGTGTTTAATTAATGATTAACTTACATTTAATCGAACTATCCCGCTCGCCAGTCCTGCTGTTTTTATGACTCCCTCTTGGTCAATGAAGAGTAATGTTTTTACTTTCGGTTTCTGTTTCACTTCGTTACTCAACATTCTAGGAAACAGATCAGATGTTTTGCAAAAAACATGTCAAATTCATTTACTATACAGGCCTACACAAATAACATTCAAAATTACTTAAAAATACACTAGTCAACATTTGAAGTGGATCAAAACCTTTCATCAAAGTTGTCCTAAAACCAAAACAATAGGCTACCCGTTTAGAACAACTTTGATTAACATTTTTGATCCACTTCAAATGTTGACTACTATATTTATATTATGCTATACATTATGCAGACACTTTCATTTAAATTCCTGTTATTTTGATCTTCTTATACAGTTATATTATTATTATTATTTATTTTTTATTTTTTTGTAATACTGACACCTATAGGCTTTAAAATACTTTACTATGCATATGTACAAGTTCATTAAAAACATGCTGACACATTATTTTCATTTCATTTATGTGACCTATAAATACTTTATTAATCATATGTAACAGTATTATAACTGTCACATATATATTCATAAAAATATGGCACAATTTTTAATATAAGTTTTAATTTGAAGTGTTTTACCCTTATTTTGAATTTCTTAAATTCAATCAAATTCAGTTGATGATAATAATAAGATAATATGGGATAATATATAGATCAAATGAAATCAGTATCAACAAAACCCATGCTTGCACTGGAGAGGGTACCGCAAAGAGGCACAGAAGCTGCATTTAAAGTGGCATTCGATGTACTTACACACTGTTTGAATCATTTGATTTGTTCAAAATAATAAAATAATAATAAAATAATAATTTGCTCGACCAATTCGTTCAAAACTAATTTCGATTCAGTCAGGAACAAACAGCTCGAAGGTGCATAAAACATGTGTTGTGGATTTATTTGTAAGTCACTTAACACAAACTTTTTGTCTATTATACAAAAAAAAATAAAAAAATCATTATCAGATTTGCAGTGCTGATATTCAGGAAAACAGCATTGTTTAACTATGTTTACATACATATATATATACATAGATATACAGACAATAACTCATAAAGGTGGCATTTTTTACAACCATATCTTGAATTTTGAAGGCAAAATAACAGAATCCCCAATTAATTTCTGACCTGCTTTCCCTGTGAGGTGACAATGAGGATTTGCTGTCAAGAGTTATTCAGTGGCTGTCTGTAAATTCCTTTAGAAAACAGCATGTACAGCGCTTGCATTTTCAGTGAGATTATGTACAAAACTGAGAAAAATAACATAAAATAACGTTATGCCCGTGCGATAATTAAACATTACAGTTTCATTGAAACACTAAGAGACCCCCAGGGGTCCTGGAGTAAGAAAGTGTCTTCTTCTAATACCTTTGTAGGAATGTTGTATGTAATATGTTGTAAATATTTTTTTCTTTCATATTTTTATGTTTGATATCCTTGTTGTACCATGTGACACAGAGTCACAGATGAGTCATAATAAATCCCAAACCCAGCATAGACGGGTTCAGTGAACGTGGTGTTGAATGTGTGTATGTGTGTGAGTGTGTGTGTGTCAGAGACGCTGTAGAAGGACAGAGTACCAGCAGACCAGTCCAGATACACACCTACTCGATTAGATGAAAATGAAAGGGCAGGTATATCAGTGCTGTTATTATCGTGACAGGCAATGAAACGTTTATAAAAGCCACTCAGATTCCAAGACTTTTGATTGAATCCAAACATACAGTCACTTCCTCCTTTCCTGCTGATTCCTTTATATGACACTGATATTTCTGTTCCCGTCCCGCTCCATTCAGCCTCCCAGTAACAGCGTCCAGTCAGACTCTCTCCACACAGAACCTGAAGACATTCAAATCTCTCTGTATGATCAGGATACGACTGATGGTCTTTCGCATGCTTTGCCATCTTCTTGTCCTCAGATAGGATGACTTGAGTGTGTGCTGTGTTTGGGTCAAGTGTGAGATCACAGGCATCTGAACACAAAAAGAGAGATGAGAAGTACATACAAAACAACAATCACTATCTGCGTATGTGTGTGTTTAGACCTACACTTCCGTAGTCCTGCTGTAATCCTGAACTCTGCTCCATGGTCCACACTATAAACAGAAACACACACACAAAAATACAAAAGCATGATCTCACTTTCTATATTTATTTATTTTTTCCCAAATGCAGCCATAGACTGTTCTAATTAAGCCTCCTTTTCTAGCAATTTTGTTCATGATGCTTTCTCTGCAAAATAAATGTTTTAAAGAGTAAATATGTTATTAGATTGCAGTACATTGTGAAAGATCCAGTTTTATTTCAAGAACTACATTAACAACAGTCAGCATAAACAAACATTGAAGAATAAACTGGTTTGAGGTTTCTAAAATAACTTAAACTTTGTGGCATTTCTCCACAGTTTGGTAAATCAATATACTGTAGTAAAAGTTCTATTAACACTGCTCATGTCTGCACTGCACTGTGTTTATGTTATTGGAATAATGGATTAGCTCCTCGAAGTTGGCTGAGTATATTATGCAACATTCTAGCATTTTGTGAAAAACTTGCTATGTTTATATAGCAGGATGCAGCCAAGAGAAGTTAGTGATTTTATTTTTTTCTTTTGTTGTTTGATTCATTTTAATAACAGCAGCAGGTATAAGACTGCGGTCACTTAAAGACCCTATTGCACAGATCCAATATACTGAAACACACCTGATTTTCTCCCAACTGTTTACTTTCACTTAAAACGTAATGACTCTGTTTACCTGAATACTCAGCAAGACAGGCATTTTGACATAAAATTTTGTGTATTTGACATTCAAGCGTGTTACAGTCAACTTTCTGTGTGCACTCTGTGTGTCAATCACCATGCGAGTACTTAATTGAGTTTTTTTTTTTTTTTTTTTGGCTTATTGCGTTTAAAGGTGCCATAGAATGCATTGATACAATATTTTTAATTGTTCTCTGATATCTACATAGAAGGTGTGTGGT